TCGAGCAGGGAATGCCAACACCACCACTGCAAAGTTTGTAACTCTGCATATATCAGAGTTCAGGAGATTCTGTTCACGTGCTCCTCAGTTCTTTACCTGGGACCTTGGCAAGGTGTTTCATAGTCTGAGAAGATGCACTCCATCCCAAATCTGCTGCACGGTCTCCTCACCCTGGGAGGGCTCAGCCGAAGGGCAGAGCAAGCACAGCCGCCCACTGCTCAGAAAGGCGATCCCAAGAGCGACCAGGAGGCACCGTACCATCCTCACGCCTCCCCTCCGAAACACTAATAGGAAAGCTTTAAGCCAGATGCCTGTCCTTACCCTCCCTTCACATCTGTAAAGCAGACCATTATCCTCGTCTCACCCACTGCAGCAGAGATTAGGAGCAGCTTGGCTCTCCTTCATTCTTCGCATCCAACCCAGATTGGCACATGGCCACACGATGCCACGCATCCATTTGACCCTCCAGAGCACAGCTGGGCTCCCCAGCCAAGCGAGGGGTCTGCTGGGCACTGGGGAGCTCAGAGGGGTTAATAAGAGCCCCAAGAGCCTGGCCCTGCCCAAAAGAGCAAAGCCCCAAAGTTCTGCACCAGAACGTGGACTTGTAGACACAGGGCTGGGATAGTTTCAGTTCAGATTGATGCAGGACCTACTCTGATGTATCTGTACAAGAGGAAGCCAGGTGAAGCTCTTTCCATTAAGGAGAAGATTAATCAGAAAACCCAGAGTCCTATAGAATTGCAGCTGAGGTTCCATTGCTTAAATGGAACCTTGGCACATGGTTACAGCAAGGGATGAACACAGCACATGGCAAGGATAATGAAAGGGTCAGGCAGGTGGTTACAGGTCACCGGGGACACTGCTAATCTCTGACAACTCATGGGAAGTTAATAAAGGATTTGGAGAACAGAGCCTAATTACTGTCCTACTTTAACCTCAGTCAAGAGCTGCTCAGTAGAAACTATCCCCTATCAAGTGTGCTCAATTCCATTCCTGGGTTGAACAACTTTGTAATTGCTCTGAACAAGCACAATTAGCACAGATCTAAGACAGCTGTATTGGAGTTTCAAAGCTCACGCTGAACAACTGATTGCTGTTTGAGACCTGATGTCCATCAGCTTTCTAAAGGGGTTCAGGTCAGCACTAATCCTACCGTAACCAATAAAACCTCAATGGGAAGGGAAGATCTCAAGATGCGGAATGGAAAAGATGAAGAAGTTACTTGAAAACACCAGCAGGTATTTTAACCACGAGAAGACACAGAATCATAGAATCAACCATAGAATGGCTTGGATTGGAAGGGACCTCAAGGATCACGAAGCTCCAACCCCCTGCCACATGCAGGGCCACCAACCTCCACATTTCATACCAGCCCAGGCTGCCCAGGGCCCCAAACACCTCCAAGGACAGAACATCCACAACCTCTCTGGGCAGCCTGTTCCAGCACCTCCCCACTTTCATAATAAAGAGAATAGACATCTGCTGTGAAAGGACACTGCAGAACAACAGGGGAAAGGACAGCAAAATACCTGCAGGTTGAAACAGATTTTAGATGATTAGCAATGCATGCGATAGCAGGGGCTCATCTGCAGATGACAGCTGAGGGCAGGGAAAGCGAGCGGCACTGCACTGCCCGCATACACAGCTGTCAGATGGAATAACCTCGGCGCTTCTCCTGCCTTTCTTCTGCACCAGCTGCAGCCATTAATGCATAATTGAGGAGTACAGGAAACACAAGGCTGAAGATGGAGCGTTTTATACCAAGAGCTATGGGGAAGAGGGAGAAATCTGACAAACTTTGATTAGAAGCTGCAGTGGGATCCCAGCAGAGAGAGCAGGCAGCAATCGTCCCATCACATGTCTATGAGAGAGACCTGGATGGCATCCGTACCACGAGCAGGAGACAGCCACAGCTCATCACACACAGCCACGCTGTTGCGACGCTCCCTCTCATGCCCCTGTTTTATATTTAGAAGGGAATTTCTCCCCTGCCAGCCCCTCAGAGGGGCTTTGTCCCACATGTGCGCAGCGCCCAGCACAAGAATCACAGAAAGAAAAGCAGACAAATGGGCCTGGAAGGAACTTCAAGCAGGCATCTCGTCCTTCCCCTGCCCCAGGGCACCAATTACTACACTTGCTCTTTTTCTAGCTGAAAACTCTCCCTTGTGGGTGGGACACCAACCCACCCAGCCAGATGAATTGGTTGGACCTTCACTTTAACATCTTAACCCCTCAGCCACCCCCGATAACACAGACCAGGCACCAAACACCGCATCAGCACAACTCAGAGCAGCCATAACACCTACTTCTGTGTGAGGAACTGATAACAGTGCAGTGCTGTGATGTTAACACGTTGGCACCGAGACCCAGCACAGCCTATTTCTGAGCTCTGCTTCAGGACTGCTGTTCCTGGAAGGGAAGCCAGCCTGGCTCCTTGAAGACACACTTCTTCCATGATGCCCACAGCAGTGAGTCACCTTTTCTGAGAGTTTTCATCATCTGCTTTTCTGGGCTCTGCAGCACATCGTGTTTACCCTGAGCCAATCCAATTTAAGCTCTAAAGATCCTTGCAGCAGGTATTGCTTACGCTTGGATCGTTAACGAGCCTCCTAACGAAGCACCGCTGCGCTTCACAGAATTGCTTCAGCAACTAATGCAGCAAAGCACAAACCTCCGTTTGCCTGTGATGCTCACAAGTTTTCCTACAGACAGACACATCCAGCCTTAATATTAAGGAACGAGTTTAACTACGCTTCCTTCTATGAAACAGAATGAAAAGAACCACCCACATTCCCAGCAGTGGCAGTTCCCATACGTTCTAACCAGTTGGTTCAGTTCTGAGGAGAAACCCAACTCTCATCGTGTCCTATCAACAGCATCACCCATTCAGCCTTTAAGGAGAACTTCTGGAAGAAAAGTGCCATGTCCTAAAAACAAAACCAACCAGATAAACGGGCAACCTTACAGCAAGGCCAGGTCCAGAGGAGGGCCACTCAGATGATCAGAGGGCTGGAGCACCTCTCCTATGAAGAAAGGTTGAGGGAACTGGGCTTGTTTAGCTTGGAGAAGAGAAGGCTCTGGGGAGACATCATTGTGGCCTTCTAATACTTAAAGGGAAAGTATAAACAGGAGGGGGAATGGCTGTTTATGAGGATGGTTAGTGATAGGACAAGGGGGAATGGCTTCAAACTCAGACAGGGGAGGTTTAGGTTGGATATGAGGAGGAAGTTTTTCACCCAGAGGGTGGTGAGGCACTGGAACAGGTTGCCCAAGGAGGCTGTGGATGCCCCAGCCCTGCAGGCATTCAAGGCCAGGCTGGATGTGGCTCTGGGCAGCCTGGTTGGGTCCCTGCACATAGCAGGGGGGTTGAAACTAGATGATCATTGTGGTCCTTTTCAACCCAGGCCATTCTAGGATTCTATGATCCTACTTCTCTGCACATGCAAAGCTTTGCTTTGTTGGGTTTCTGTCCACAGTATCACCCCACGGCTGAAACCCATTCATTTTTAACCAGCCACCTGAGTCATTTAAAACAGTGATTTTGGAAAACTCCAATACAGGAAAGGAATTAAGGGCTATTGTAGAGGGGGTGGGAACAGCAGGGTGAGCTCTGACTGTACACAATACCCCCACCTGGCACTGATTTCAAGTTCTGCAGCTCTTGATGCAGAAGAACCAAGAGATGAAGGTGGGCTATGAGCATCCTCTACCTGTGTGCATCATTCACCTCCCAGAGGGACACACACGTGCTCGTGCCCAGTTACAAGCAATGCATCTTGGTGTTCAGATGAAGTTCTTTGGGGAACTTCTCTCTTACTGTGGTTTGAGTTGGAGGGGACCCTTCAAGGCCATCTGGAACCACTGCCTGCAATGTACAGGGACAGCCATCAGGTGCTGAGAGCTCCTCCAGCCTCACCTGAGGGTCTCCATGAATCACAGAATTGCAAGATTGGAAATGACCTGCAAGATCATCCACTCCAACTGTCCTCCCATCACCACTGCTACCTCAAGCACTAAACCAGATCTCATAGTTCCTCATCCAGACGTCTCTTGAACACTGCCAGGGACAGCGACTCCACCACCTCCCTGGGCAGCCATTGCAGTGCCTGACCACCCTCTGAGAGAAACAGTTCTTCCTTACGTCTAACTTAAACCTCCTCTGGTACAACCTGCAGCCATTTCCTCGGGTCCTGTTTGTTGCCTGGGAGAAGAAGCCACATGGATGGGACACCAGCACCTCTGTGGGCAAGTAGCCCAGAGTGTAAAACATTTTTTCCTTATATCCAGTCTAGATCTCCTCTCTTTGAGTTGGAAACCATTTCCCCTTGCCGTACTATAGCAGACCCTGCTGAAGAGCCCATCCCCTTTCAGCAGGGGGAAGGAGGCAGGAGATGTTCTGTTTGCTGAATCAATTGCACGGCTTCCATCCGGACGACAAATGCTACCAGCATGCTGCCTACCTAGCAAGAGCTTAGAAGTGCATAATTCACCTAATACATCAGATTCAGAGAAACAGAAAGAGGCGATCTCAGCAAACTCAGGTCGGGCAGCCAGCTCACCATCTTCCTGAACAAAAACACAATGGGAAACACGGCTACAAAACCCCTAAAGGGCATCAGAAGGAAACACCTCTGGTGATGGGAGAGTGTGACGGCAGATAGGGCAGCGTCCACCCGCGCTGCTGACCGCAGATAACCCAGCAGGTAGCACAGACGAAACCACGGGCTGCGCAGCTGGGAGAAAGAGCTGTTTCAGAACAGAAGGGCCATCGACCAAACGGCGGTGGCATCATCTCCAAACACGGGCAGGACGATGAGAGCAGCCACATCGGGCGGGGCTGCGAGAGGGGCAGCTTCCTCAGGAGCTCCTCTCCGCTAAGAAAACACAAACCGGCCCTTCACGAACCCCTCGGAACAAGAGGAGCGTTGGCAAAAGGAACACGGAGGCTCGGAGCCGCCCGGCCCGGCACCACCTGCAGCCCCGCCCCGCCCGCGCCGTACCTGAGCGTGGGGCCGATGCAGGCCGTGTCGGTGCTTTCGATCTCCCGCAGGATCCTCTCGTGCTCCGCCGCCGTCTCTAAGCTCTCCAGCTCCGCCATCTTCACACGGTGGGGGTGGGAGGGGGGTGAAAGGCTGGGGGGGAGTTGTTCCGGCGGGGCACCCAGCAGCGCCGTGCCGCCCGGCGGACCCCACCTACCTGCCGGCCCGCCCAGCGCCGCTCGGCACGGCCCGGCCGCGGGGCACGCTGGGAAACGTAGTGCGGGAACGCGCTGAGGCGGGAGGAGCCGTGAGGGAAGGAGGAGCGGGGCGGGGCCTGAATGGCGGCAAAGCGGGGCTGCGTCATAGCAGCACCTCGCAGTGCGTCACCACGGCAGTGATGTCATAACGTGTCCCCATGGCAGTGACCTCACAATGTGTTCCCATTGCAGAGACCTTGTAATGTGTCCCCATGAAGGGACACAGCTCCGTGGCATCGACCTCACAATGTGTCCCAATGAGGGGGGCACAGACACATGGCCATGACCCCATAACATGGCCCCATGGCGGCGATCTCATAACATGTCCCCAGGAAGGGGCACAGCCCCAAAGCAGTGACCTCACAATGTGTCCCCATGAGGGGGCACAGCCCCATTGAAGTGTCTTCATAATGTGTCCCCATGGCATTGACCTCACAATGTGTCCCCATGGCAGTGACCTCCTACCATGTCCCCATCAAGGAGCACAGCCCGAAAGCAGTGACCTCACAAGGTGTCCCTGTGAGGGGACACAGCCTCATGGCAGTGATCTCAGAACGTTTTCCCATAGCAGTGACCTCACAATGTGTCCCCATTGCAGAGACCTTATAACGTGTCCCCATGAAGGGACACAGCTCCATGACCTAGACCTCACAATGTGTCCCAATGAGGGGGCACAGACACATGGCAATGACCCCATAACATGTCCCCAAGAAGGGGCACAGCCCCAAAGCAGTGACCTCACAGTGTGTCCCCATGAAGGGACACAGCCCCATAGACGTTCATCATAATGTGTCCCCATGGCAGTGACCTCCTACCATGTCCCCATCAAGGGGCACAGCCCCAAAGCAGTGACCTCACAATGCGTCCCTGTGAGGGGACACAGCCCCGTGGCAATGATCTCAGAATGTGTTTCCATGGCAGTGACCTTCATAGTTTGTCCCCATGAGGAGACACAGCTCCATAGAGGCGTCATCATAACGTGTCCCCATGGCATTGACCTCACAACGTGTCCCCATGAAGGGACACGGCCCCATCTCAGCAACCCCACGCCATCTGCCATGAGAGGTCACAACCCCTTGGCCATAGCATCCTGCCATGAGAGCTGTTCCCCCTTGAGGGGAAACAGAGCCATGTTGGTGACCCCGTGTTGTCTCCATGAAAGGTCACAGTCCCTTGGTCATGATATCCCTCTAAGAGGGGTCACAACCCTATAGTAGAGACATTCCCCCTTGAGGGGACACAGGCCCAAGACAATGACCCCACAGCAGTGGGGGTCACACATTCCATCCCCCAGGAGGGATCACAACCCCATAGCAGTGACGGCATGCCATGACCCCTTGAGAGCACACAGCCCCACTGCACTGATATCACGTGTTTCATTGCAGCCCTTCCTCTGCCACTGGCAGAAGTGACACAACCCCAGAGGCGTCTGCACTCAAGGACAGCACTGCCAGCCTCCACAAACAGCCTTGGCTGCCAAGGTCCCCTCGAGAGCTTGCCTTGGCCCCCAGTGCTAATCTCACCTCGTGAAACAACTGGTTATCATTATTATTATTATTATTATCCTGTGCTGTGACAACTGTGCTGGAAGGGCTCCATTCCCAGCTGCCTTATCACTGCACTAGGCATTGGGAGATGCCATGGTGTGCGAGATGAACTGGATGAAGAGCAGAAAAGAGAACATGCTGCCAAGCTTTTACTGCTCTTGCTTTCGTCAGCTCATGCTCTGAGATGGAAATAAAACTGGTTGTAAGAGCACACCTCCAGCATCCCTCACTGTGGCTCTCTGATGGGGTCAGAATCTCTGCACCATCACTTGATTAAATGAGGCGGTGACCTCCCAGCATACTGTGCGTGGCCATGACGGTACAGGAGGGGCAAGGAAAGCCTGACAAAAACTTTGTTATCTCCTCTGAAGTTCACCAGCTCTTGCATGTCATGCCTACGGCTGCCAAACCCGGTGCCGTGCGGGACCAGATGGATGTCACTTTGGATGTGTTAACACCCGCCAGGAAATCTGCTCTCCGATGGCAGTCACCATGGAGATCCGATGGAAGCCTTTGGAGGACCAGAAGCAAAGAGACGTGTCAGTGATATCATGGAAGGAGATAAAAATAGCAGGGCAGTTTCTGAGCCCAGCAGACTGGCGTAGCATTCCCCCAGGGCTGGTTTGCCATCCGCCGGGAGCGGAGCGCTGTGCATTTTGCGCTCTCCCTCTTGCTGGCAGAAGGCTTGTGCCTCCAGCAATGCAGCTCCCAACTGCAGCCCCCCAGGGCAAAACAGAGAGAGGAGATGGGTTGGCATTCAATGTCTTTGGGCTGCAGACCACTGAGATGAGCTACCTGTGGCTGCAGGAGGCGTATCACGAGCTGCTCGCTGTGATACATGTCCGGCTCCAGTGTAAAACCCCCATCTACCGCTGTTAGATTACAGCTAAGAAGATTACTGTTTTCATCTCAATAGGGATCTGAGCCAGTGTTCCCGAAATCAATGGTAAATGTTGCATTGTCTTCAGTGAGCTTCAGAAATGGGATTAAGAGCCAGAGGACGGAGCGTGGGAGGCTGGCAATGGTGCTGTAGGGTTTGAGTTACAGTATGGGGAGTGATATCAAAGCCACATTTGACCCTGATGCTTAGCTGGGTAATGGTGGCATCACAAATAATTCTCTCAGCAAGGGTCTGGACTTCAAGAAATGGAGAGATACGGCACTGCATGACATGGTGATGGGCTGATGTTGGACCTTGGAGGTCTTTTCCAACCTTAACGATTCTACAATTTTATGAGTCCCCTATGAAGACACTGTTTTGTCCACCAGACTGTACTATAGGGGGGCTGAGCACAGAAATGGGAACCTAGAAATGAATTAATCACCAAATAGTGATGCTGACTTTACTCTTACCTCCCTCTACCAGCAGAAAGAGAGGGATGCTACTTTCAGCTTTGGCAAGAAAAGGATGCCAGTGCATGGAGCATGGTGTAGCTCAGCCAGCAAGGCACATCCCGTAATAAAACTGAGCATGAACATCCACAGAGGAACGTGGGAAGACAGCATGAGGCACTGTGACAATGTCTAAAAAGACATTTGCTTTAAACTGAATTAAAATAAATATCATAGAATCACAGAATCATTCAGATTAGAAAAGACCTCTACAGATCCTATTTCCCTAAAAACCACGTTGGCTGATGGGAACTGCTCTACATTCCTTCAATTTCCAGCTGACAAAGTTCCATATCAGTAGCGACACCACTTCTTTATGGGGCAGGCATTGCCCTTATGAAACTTGAAAACTGTTTCAATTCCTCACCTCCCATCAGCATTTTTCCAGCTCTGAGCTCAGCTGTAATTCCACCATTCCACTAGATGGATACCACTGTCAGGATTACTTTATTTTCAGCTCTAACATTCTCATTCTCAATGTGCTTCCTTTGGTGGTCTCTGTTTTTTTTCCTTTCGTGCCATTCCTTTGTTGCACAGTTTCCAACAGCTCCTGGCATCTCTGTGCCCTTGCTGTTGTCCCCACTCCTGCTGCTCGTGTCTTCCTTCCCATGGTCTTCTGGCCCAACCCACGAGCAAAGCATGGTTACAAATGGGACACAAGGACAGCCAGATGGACTCACATCCTTGCTGTTGGATGCTCAGATAAACCCGGTGGGCACATCCTTCCCCTGCACTGTGTGTGATCATCCACACCCTGCGAGCTCCCTGCTCTCCCCACCCCCATCCTTCTCCCAGCTCCTCTGTCCCCATAGGGTTTATTCCCCAGCAGCAGGAACGAATGCATCCATCCCATGCTGTCCCATGGGTGAACCCATGACTCAGCTCCAGCTCAGCCCGTCCTGTTTACCCTGGGTGTGCAGCAGCCTCATTTCCTCCATCCACACCGACCTTTAGCACTGAGCAAAGCTCCACAGCCCTGAGAGGTGCCTGCATTTCATTCAGCCCCTACAGAACCCCACTGCAGTTGGGTTGGCACCGACCATCACCATCCCACACACTCGGATGCCACCCACAGAAACAATAGCAGCTGGACAGGTTTTGGGGAGCAAACCTCCAAAAATGGGGTTTTGGGGGCAATGTTCCCACCCAGACTGCTCTCCCTCAGGCAGGCGCCCTCATCCAGACCCTCTCTGCTCCTGCCCTGCAGTTTGTAGCTCTTTCATTGGCATCCTATAGAGCACACTTATAAAGGAAACTCCAGCCTTCCAGTCACCAGTGTCTTAAAATCCTGTTCTGCTTCACATCAAGACTTGTCAAGACTGAAATAAGATGCTCTGATATTACCATGCCATTCCCCAGACCCCTTCATGGGAGTTGTTTTGATGCTTCTAATCACGGCTTCTGCTTTCTCATGCATTTTATTACACCTTTATTTTCGAATACAGGAGATTAATAGAAAAGAGGGACTGAAACAACGTTCAGATGGACTTCAGATGTAAAGTCTGAACTGAGCTCTGGCCTTCAAAGGTTGGGGAGAACTTTTCAACCCGAGTTTCTGATTCCAAGACAGAGATCTCTGGTGGCAGTGGTTGGATGAAAACCTTTTGGCAAGCTGCATTGGGATTCCCTAAGACTTGCCTTAAACAACCAGTGCAACACAGTTCTTGGTCAAGAACCATGTAGGTATGGCACTTGGGGACATGGTTTAGTGGGCATGGCGGGGTTGGGTTGGGGTTGGATTCGATCCTAGAGGCCTTTTCCCACCTTAATGATTCTTTGAATGGACACGGTAGGGGCCAGTTGACAATTGGACTCAATGATCCTAGAGGTCTTTTATCAGTTCTATGATTCTATGGGATGGCTTCATCTGGACAGGAGAGCACAAGGGCAGAGCCCACCTGAGGCTCTGGGTTTGGCTGCACATGGGGAGCAAATGCTGGCAGGACGCAGCGAGGTGAAGGAGAGGGC